TTTTGCATGGTTTCAAGAGAGCTTTAACGTGATAGTGAAAAATGACTGGTCAACTCTTTTTTTAAATGTTTTTTCAAGGTTACCTTGAATTTTTTGCAACTGAACATATAATTTTTTTACGCCTGTCTGTTAGAGGATTTCAAGACGAATCCGGCACATGTAAGGACATGACATTTTTTTCATCTGGTTCGAAAGAAAATTAAAAAACTAAATACTCCTTATCACAAGGAGCATCACAGCTACGCCGTTATACGCATCTATTCTGTCGTCTTCAGTCGCCATCAGTGTAGAGGAGAGGCCATAAAGAATGCAAAACAATCTTTTCTTCACCGTCTACGCGAGTTCATTGCAGCTCGTGGACACCATTTTGAACATCGCTACAATTAAGATTCGTAAATTTTGACTTGTCAACAACATTGGTTGCGTAATAACGGCGTAGCTGTGATTCTCCTTGTGATACAAAGTTTTTTAATTTTCTTTCGAACCGGAAGAAAAAAATGTCATGTCCTTACATGTGCCGAATTCGTCTTGAAATCGTCTAACAGACAGGCGTACAAAAATTATATGTTCAGTTGCAAAAAATTCAAGGTAACCTTGAAAAAACATTTAAAAAAAGAGTTGACCAGTCATTTTTCACTATCACGTTAAAGCTCTCTTGAAACCATGCAAAAGCTGATAAAAACATTTTCGATCGGACTGCTAATAATAAAGTAATCTCTACTGATCGCGATCCGTGGTTTATCCTGTATAGTTTTCTTCAGATTAATAATTACAACTTATATATTTATTACCAAAATCATAGCTATCGGCTTTCGGAGATGTTCTTGATTAACCCCTTGCACTATTCGGAACCTCGGGAAAAGTCAGGCCAAACGCGGCTGCCTCGATCGTCGCGGTGAACGGCGAGCGGTGGAGCGCGCGTACCGAAACTTGATACCTATTCTTACGACCGAGCGCAAGGTAGTCGTGCCCGTATTTACTTCACGCGATGGAACCCTTGTGAAATTCAAATGAATTTGAATCAAAAACTTTTAAAAAATACTTTAATTATTACATAAGATGAAAACAAATTCTGATTAATTATAATAATATAATTTGGTCCAAAACTAAGACCACGAGTCAGACTCGTTATTCATGTTCGACCTGAAATGTCGAGTACGAGTCAGACTCGTGATATTCATGTTTGGTCTGGAACTTAACAACGAGTCAGACTCGTGACATCCATGTTTGGCCTAAATATTTCATCACGAGTCAGACTCATCAAAATAGTGCAAGGGGTTAAAAATGTTCCACATTATTGTTGCACGTCCGTGTTCAAAACGTCTAGTGTAGCTGTTATTTTACACCAAGACTGGCCATTGGTCTACTGAGAATATTGTTTGGGTTGGGAACAACGCTTCTGGTTAATATAGTAAATCCATAAATTACACGTGAGGTCTAAAGGAATTTTCTTCATTGAAATTTGTAGGGAGACATCCAAGTCGGAAATCTAGCATCGGTTTAAGCCTATACAACCTCCATTCCTTTGTTCTTTGGGTTTGCCAATTGAAGTGTAATGCCAATTTCATCCTACGTGATGCTAAAGACAAAACTTTGAGGTCAATACTGGGTTTAATAAAAGCGCATAAATGCATACATATTTAGATCTGAATAGCTTCGTGAAATAAAATTGATTAGCTAAGATTCGTGTATGTTGATGTAAACATGAATCATAATCTGAAGATCCCACTGAAATTCCTAGCTAAGGTCTCTAGGTCAAAAATGGATCTAAGGACTCATTCACACGAAAGGCAGCGGGCAGCGAGCAGCAGGCGGACACCAATAGGCAAAATGCTTTGGGCCTGATTAATAATATCAATACCACGATGCTATTTTCTAGCCTTGGTCTGAATGAGTCCTAATAGTTTTGCTTCAAAAATAAGACCTTGAGTTTCAAAATGAGGTATTCTAACACCATTTTTAACCCCTAATTATTATTTTTAAACGTAACTGAAAATTTGAAGCTTACACTGGTGGTAGCTCAGTCGAGTATCTCCATTCCACAAGCTTATTGCTAGTAACAGCCTCAATGTCCATGCGTAGAATAAATAGGCTCAAACCGGTGTTAAAGTTTCAACTCGGGTGATTCCTCTGAAGTACATATTATTCATGAACGGACTATACACCTAACGCATTATCAATACAAATAGAATTATGAAAGTTATACTGGCAGTTAATAATTCGGAAGAGTTAAGGAGGATAATTTCTTTTCGGTAAGGATAACGTGTAGTAAAGTTCAAAAACTATTTTCGCTCGACGTATATCCTCTAGGATAGAGCATTCTCGAATCTAGAGCAAATAAGTGTGATTGTATTTCTAGACATTATTTTGTGCTGTTCTGAATACTCCCTGGCATGCGTGCCTAGATAAGTAATTTTGTACAGAATGCTATAAGATAACAATATTTCACTAGGGTTATATTCTCTAGAATAGGCACGTCTGCTTCTTAACCAATTTTCAGGGTAGTATAGAAATAAGGAAATGCTCATTGAATAGAATTCTGATAGGCATTCCCTACATTATCGATAAATTATGATAAAGTACATTCATCATTAGTCAATAAAAACTTCTTTCTATAAGAGTTCCTTTGCCACTATCGTCACTGACTTTTATTTATTTAATTTATTTTTAACTCTATTTTTTTTTAAAGGGAAAATTGCAAAAGTGGACTGACTTACATGAACCCTTAAGTACCCAGTGTCATTCAAATCGTTCTAATTATTACAATTTCAAATAGCCATATTCGATCCACCATTTTAAAGTTTTTGGGGGTTGGCCACAGAACCGTAATCAGTGACCGAAAAAACTCCTAAAATGGTATTTTTCCCGAAAGAAAGTATGTTTCAAAGGATTGATATATTTAACATTCAATATTTTACGCACTATAAATGGAAACTTTAGCTTGAAGCGAATGAAGTTAAAAGTTACAAGAGAACCAGAAGTTATGGATCCGTCGAGAGTTCACAATATTATAATAGTTGTGAACCTTTGGTAAATACAGAAAATAGGATAATCCTCCACGAGGTGAAAGCACAAACTTGGGCAACGTTGGATGATGTTAACAATTCAGTGTATAGTAAGAAAAAAATATATATATTATTCCCCAAGAAGCATAAAAATGACGAAATCATTGAAAAATGTATACCTATACCGATAGGGCAATGCTTAATTGAAAGCAATAAGTATAAGAAAATCTTGGTAATTATTTATTCGATTACAATCATTAAACGCATCAGAATCTCTATGTTAGTTGGTCATTAAGAATCGGGAACGGCAGCTATGAGTGATCCAATTGATTCATCAGGAGACGCGCCCATGTAATTGCGTGCTTAGCGCTTTACGTATACAGACGATAGAATAAATGGAATCGCAGAATTGGGGTCGAATCCAGCGTATTCTTGTCTCTTATTCAGTAGCTCAGTAGAAATTCCTTACCTCTGGGAACTCTGAAAGAGCGTTGGAGACGCCTTGCAAATCCATCGATTAGATATTAGGATTAACTTAATCCCATTTGACTGGAGTGGAGCCTGTGTTGGAGTTGAGGTGAAAAGGGTTATCTCGTTTTTTGTGCGGTTTCCCTTCTTACGACATCATATTCTACTGGTTCTAGCAGTACTTGTGAGACTAACCTTTCCATGTTTACGGGAATCCCCTAACTCTACTACTATCCGGAACTCTGGACGATCAATTCGCGGTTACGAGGATTTCTGTTTAGGATTGTTATTTTGACCTGGCTTTAGCTCCAGGTGCTTTCTGGTTTTGACTGACATTGAAATACTACCTACCGTACTAACCACATAATATGCGCTGTATAACATTTAAATAGACATTTAAAATAAGTTCATTAACAACTACTATTTTGGATAAAATTTATTCTTGAAATAAGTCTGAACATGGAAACAGATGAAGAGTCGGGAAACAAACCGAAAAATGGGGTGAAAGAATAACGAGAGCCATAAGAATTGAAAATGAATACTATAAAAATTCAATCTTAATATTCAAGAAGGGAAAGAAACTGTTTTAAACGAATTTATACAATTTTCAATCATCAACTAAGAATTATTTTACCGAACTTCGCTACGATAATAACATAAAATAATAGCAGTAATTTGACGTAATACACTAAATATGCGGTTGTCAAAATAATAACGATAAAATAGTCAATATAATATGCTAAATAATTATTAATCGCATCGTTCTGACCATAATTTCATTGGATTTTTTTACCAAGAATCATTTATGTGAAAATACAAACCTGTAAAAGAATAAGGTTATTTTCAAAGAAATTAAGAAAACATAATTGTAATGAATCGATTTCCCTGATACTAAATAGGCTAAGCTATATATTATAGGAGACCTAACCTACGATAAAACTACTATTTTTATACAGAAAAATTTAACTGCTTCTTATAAAATATCCAACCTCTTTCCTCTTTCAACAACGATATACAATGATTTATTTCGCGAAATAAAGCATCGAATACTATTAAACTAAATTAAAATACATTCTTGTATTTCTTGCCAAAGGTTGTTTGTAATTCTGCAAAGTTTTTAACCCATAACGAGACGACCCAGTAAGCTCTGACGGGATAAATTCCCATCACCACATCTATCACACATACCAAAATATTCCATATATACATATATTACATGTAATTGAAAATATATCTCGGCACATATGTTCACGTATATAAATGACATATGTTAAACATATGCAAAACCTATGAAATTCTGCCCAATTTTTATATGTGATATATAGTTAATTTGTATATAAAAATTTACATTATTTTTACAATCAATATATACAATACTATATTGTGTGACAAGGGATGAAACAAGACGATTTCAGACTAGAGTGAAGTTGACTGCCTGAGCCGTAATCGCGGGCTGACATCATCCGAGGTTTGAAATCCTATTTTATCCTGTGTCACACTATATTTTTCATGATTACCTGCATTGAAATCAAGTTTCAGTACTTATCAACAGCCAATAAGAAATAAATTAATTTAATGCTCATGGTGTGAATAACTATTAGCGTATGCGTAAATAGTGATGATAGCACGGTTAGAACTGTCACATATGAAAGTCAAATAAGTAAACTAAAGTAACTAACAAGCAAATAACAAAGTAATAGGGCTGGAATAAACATTGAATTTGACTGGCAGCGGGAAGAAATGTAATTGATTCTGTCTGCTGATATTAAGCATTCGTAATTTAGGTCTGAAATTAGCTTGTTTCGCCTGGCCGTAGAGACACTGAAATTTAAAGTCTCGATGCAGGTGTCATGAAAATAAATACGTTACATATACGTACATGAAATATATATTTTAAAATATATACGGATATATATACTTATTTATATTTCTGTTTATAATATATATAAGTATGTTATACTACATATTTAATATACAGGCTAAAAACGTTTATGCACATATCCATCAATTTATATGTGTAAATATATGTGAAATATATTTGAAATTATATTCACAATATATCCTGAACTTGTTGTATTATATATTCGACTAATATCCATATAAGAACTATATCATATACTATAATTTATAAAATATTTTCGTATGGACAACTCAGCGGCTTTATAGATATACGCACTAAGAGACCGAAAACGAGGGAATCTGGAATAGGAAAGGATTAGCAGCAAGTGAGGCTTAGGCTGCGCAAAGTCGATCTCAAACTCACCATTCATTTATTAGGCTAAGGTCGACTCTGCTGTAAGTCGAGAGGCTGACATTGCATAATGTATGAGACTCTATGCCCCATGGGTGAGGTTTGCGCTGTTCTTGATCCTGTTTCTGTTCCTGAATTCTGCTGATCTTGGCTCTACCCAGATGTGGCAGACAGAACCTTCGAGGTTTACTTAGACAGCTGGAAGAGCGGAGATGCGACGACCTGTCCCAACCAGTTGTAATCTTGCAACAATAATTCGAACCTCTGCTTGGCAGTTCGTATCTTTGTGACGTCACTCATCGTTCTTAATTCGTCATTCTACCGCTGAGTGGTGGTTTACGGCGAGGCTCATTGCTTTCGAAAACCTCCCTTCGAAGGCTCGACCCAATGAATCGTGGTTGAGGATTAATGGTCCATCCGGAAGCCTTTTCAAACTCGGAACAGTAATGTATGTAAACCGCTTGTTCGCGGTTCACTTCTCAGACCTGAACACTGTCATGAAACAAGACCGGAAGTATGAAGTGCGGGACTATAAAAAATATATTGGAAGCGAACTTTATAAGATTACGATAGAATATGCTTGTCTATACTGCGGGTTCACTATACTCTTTCTTTACGCTCCATTTTATATTCCGGGTCTACCGGTCAGAGCGATCGATCACACGTCGTGTAGTAGGTAACCGTGGATTTTGGTTTGCGTCACTGATTGTGCTGGTCAATGGCACTGTATTGAAAATACGACACGGATCGCGCAGCTCTTGTTCGTCTTTAAACAAAACACTATTATATGAGCCCTGTAGAGTTGCCGTGGAGATCCCCTCCTCAGCTCGGCTGATCTCGGTCGAATGCTTAACAAAATGCTGGACATGGGCTTGAGAGCTCTTTAGAACTATAGTTAATGGTCTACCTGACAAACGACGAAGACTGAAAAGAAACGACACACCTTTCTCTTATACTTTCCAAGGATAATGAACATCAACACGCCCTAAATGGTTTGCAGATGTCTCACTGCCCTTGTCTAACATTCAGACCCTGACTATGGTGGTTCTAAAAGTTATGCACTTTCAAAAAAATCAGGCACAGAATATTGCCAGGTCTGAACAGTTTGCACAATTTAAAGTAACGAGAGGATCGATAGAAATTTTATTGCACATAAACACAATCCGATGCTACGCAGTGTCGATTGGCGTATTATCGAACGGCGTTATTGTCGTTTAGCAATTAGATTAAGTGTTACGCGTTTCGTAACATACTGCAGCGCTACTCGGCGTTTTACGTAATATACATACACTATCAATCCAGGAGATTTTTAATACGATTTCTTTCCATATTTCCGCGTGAGAAACGATCGCACTAATTGAGTTTTGATGAAAATAACGGGCCACACCTCTCGACGTTAAACATCCCTCCGTATCACAAATCTTCCGCCGTGCATCTAGTGCACGGAACCGACCTCCATACTTCCCTCGGTGTTCCTAGCTCCAGCGCGCTCGATAGACCGAATGTAATTCAACAGTTCGTCGCTCGCCGTTTGTCTTCCTCGTCGGATGGACGTCGTTTATTGCTCGTCATTAATTGTGCATCGTTCGATGCGAACGGCCCAGCGGTATCAATCGCCCTATTTGACCTATCCGTCCGTCAGTCGCTTGGGATGGGCGTAACTGCCATGTGCCTATATGAAATATAACTCAGATTGAATTTACCCCAATCAGAAACGAGATTGGTAACGTTTGCGGTCCTTTTAAATGTACGTGTCTACAAATGACTATGATGGATGTCGTATGTGTATACGTAATATCCAATGCCGGCGGAATGTAAATTAACGCATTAGATCCATGAATGATTGAGGTATGCATTCTATACGTGTTGAACAAACGAGCTAATTTCACCCAGTATGCATTCCTTTGGTCTGTCCGAATTCGCAAACGTGAAATGGTACCTTAACAATGCTGAATATCAAAGAGAGAAAGTTATAAAGTCATACGGACTTTTAGTCGACCTACAGATAAATTTTAAGTGCGTGGATGGTAGAGATAAAGGTAAAGTGATGTCATCTCGTATGCTTTAATTGATTCTAAGCAATCAGCCAAATCGCGTGACCTGCTAAAATATTCTGGCGGTCTTAGAAAATCGGCGAAGCGAACAACTTCACAGGATCTCGATCCTTGATTATGATAAAAATCGCCTTCACTCTTGAACAATAGGAAGGGGCTTTGCATATATAACCGTGCCCACCCTATTTGGGGATGATTAATAACGGCGTGAAGTTCCCTATTGTGTGACGTCATCACCCAACCCCAATTTTCATGTATCAGAGGAGCAATAAAACACATCCTCGATCCTACATTCGAAGCCCCCCCTGAAACCTAATACACAAGACTTTCATTCCCTAAACCAGCACCCATTGTTATCAGTAGCCAGATTTTTAGTTCTAAACTCAGCATGAAAATGAACGCGTACCTAGGTGATTCAAATGATTAATTGAACAATAATTCTCATAGGGCTCTTCTCTTCTTTGAGTTTTACAACCTATGACTGTATATGTATAAATTTATATATAAATTTATATAACTTATAAATCATACGTAGATTATGCAAGGTGTGTACTCGATCTAGTTGACAAATGGATCGCGTGCCTTTCGGGATCGCTTTAAGGAAGACGTACTTAAGATCGTCGTGCCGATTTAATTTAAGAGTGACGGATACAATAAACCTCGTAACAATTTTCACTGAATTCCCTTTCCTCGGAGCGCCTCAAGGATTCTCAATCCGCAAAGGATTTCTTGTTACCGTAGAAAAATTGGAATGACCCATTTCTCGTCAGACTCTTTTACGATACCGCCTAACGACCCACCAGATATTTTATTTCATCGTCATTACTGAGTAGGCCGCCGTAAGTACTCGTTATGACGAGTTTCTAATAGGCGTCACCTTTTGCTATATTGAATTATAGGTATAATAATTATACAGGGTGGGCCGGAAATCGTAGTACAACCGAAAAGTATAGGATTCCTTATGGAAAAGTAAATCTAAATTTCAGAATAAATGTTTTCTCTACGAGGTTTTATTTTCTCGAAAATAGACCTTAAATATTGGTAGAGTACGCGTGCACTTAAATAAGGATCGACTTACGAAGTTCACTATAGATCATTATTTCCTTCCATATCTGCATACATCAATATCATGAGAAGATGATTTGAAATAATTTAACCAATATTCCAACCACGAAAGCAACTATTTTTTTTTTATTTAGGAATTATTTAAAATGTCGTTACCATCATTGTATAACAAGTTGTGGTGGTTGAATAGAAAAGTCATTAGTGGTAGTTAGCACCTTGAAACTTGAGTTTTCGAAACGTCTGGATGACGTGATATTGTACGCAAATACGAAAAGAACAGTGTCTCAAGCAATTTTCGGTAAGTCGATTATTAATCAAGTTCACATGTACTTGATTGATTTTATAAAACGATTTTATTAAAAATGAAGCATCGTAGAGAAAAAATTTATCTGCAATTTTTTCTATGAGAAAAATAAATTTTTCCCGTTGTACCATGTATTTCGTCCCACCCTGTATAGACGTAAGTGCAAATAATTTATTATATGAAAATGCAAAGGTTTTACTAATATCAAACAAATTATTTCGAAATAACGAAACATTTTTTGTACGAATCAGACATCAAGAACCCGAATTGAAAACCCGAAAAAAAAATTGTTTAAGTGAATTTTCAAAATAAGGATTCGTGCATAAATGTACATCCTTAACAGATCTCAGTGCTTTTGATACAATTTCTGTGGGTAGTGTGTCGAACGTATAGGTATATCGATTTCAGACTCCAACTGTAACGAATAAGCTTACGGCAAGCTTAGAGGCTCCAAATTCAAGATGCATTACTTGAATTAAATCGAAGTCTATCGTTAACGTATTTCATAAGAAAATTTATAGATAGACGTATGATGCGAAACTACTGTGAACGTTATTCCTCGTTATGGGAACTTATAAAGCAAAACTTAATTTCCTAGTCACGCGTGTCGCGTATTTCGCCCTGCCTGACTACGTATCTTTGATCATACAGGACTCGTTTAATATGTAAATCCATCGTTGAACAGGCAAAATGGCCGCGGTGTAGTGTATGTCAAGCAATAATAATTTTATAACCCCATAATACAAGGCTGCACGAAATTCGGTCGTTGCTAACCGACTGGGTGTAGAAACTTATTAAAAGAATTCCAGCAAAGAAGTCTTGGTTCTCGTTAGTTACTACACGAAAGCATATTACATCCATGAACTACCATGCACAACCATATAGCTCCACGAGACCACAGGAACCTCCGTCAATGCTTGCGTTAGACAAATTAAATATTGACTCTTCTTGTATTTATTGAGAGATGAATCTTAGGGTCTCTGTATTTCGAGAGAAAAAAAATGAAATGCAAAGTAAAGAATTTTATAACAAATTTAAACGCATATCTCCTAATGATGATATATAAATACGTATACGTTGCTATAATCAGACGAACGCTGCTACTGCATGGCACGTTGCCACCCATAACGGTTTCAAATCATCCCCTTGGGAAATCCTGTGAGCTTCGCGCTGCCTTCTCTATGCGCAACATATTACGCTACGTCGGAAACAGTGACGAATTTATCTAAAGGCGTACCAATCGATCGTCGATCACTTCGCACGTAGCAATCAGCGGCGAGTTAATTCATGCGTGGCTGACATATGCACATCGACGTATCAGCGAGTATACGTAATTAATTTCGTATGCAGCATCAGTGTAATGGCGCTAATGGCGAACCACTGCATACAAAAAAAAAAGGAACCGTCCCTAGGCTAACGATTAGTTTAATCTGTTAATCAACAAATTCCACTTTGCCATCGTCTATATGGCGGTATCTGGTCGAGCAATACTTGATTGTCCTGTCTCGGGAGTTCTCGTGCATTTTCGTGCAATTTAGATTCTTTGAAAATCCAACTATCCGTCATTTGGCTCAAAACTATACGTATAGTCGTAAAATCAAATTTATCCACATGTTGTGACGTTTTCTACTGGAAAATAGACAATTAAACAATCCCTTTAAGGATGCATTGTCCAACTAGGTGGACAAGGATAAATATTCTGTAAAGAAAAAGTGTGCTAGGAATGGGTGAGTTTTAAATCAAACTGGATATTAAATTTTGTATTAGCCTTGTAATCCTTTCGGGACCAACCCTCGTTACGAACTGAGCTTTATTTGTCGCAATATCCTGGTCGCCTCGCATGGAGCTTCTGATAAAAAGCTCGAAAGTTTTTATTGTCCAGGGAACGCGAGTTGCCTTCTATTTCCTCGGAGCAGGGGACTTCCTGGTGTTATCAATTTTAAGTTGATTCCTCCCTCTTCTCTGAAGCCACTAGCACACCCTACCGCAATCCACCCTGATGTGGGGTTGAACGTTCCATCGTGGACTAGCATGAACATGAATTCCATTCGTGACTGCAGATAGTCGCGTTCTCGCTACCGAGCGGCAATGCTAACGATTTTCCGCTTCGACGATATACTACCTGTACACATATTACATATATTATACTTACTGTACTTACTATACTTACGACACCTTCCTTTCCTTAGTAAATCTATTATATGCTTGCTATACTCTATTATAACTACCATACCTACTATCTATACGTGTTATACCTACCCGACTGTGTTCTTCTTCTTTATAACCAGGTCATTCTAGAGTCACAGCAGAGAAACGCAGCACGAACTTCTCGAATTCCATCGTCCGACTAAGCGAGGATTTGCTTACTGGCTCGCGATCTCCTTATCCACGTTGACACAATTAATCATCCTACCTACATTCTAGGTTTCTATTATTTACACGGCTGGTATCGCTTATCGAGGACGTTAGCATCGGTTTGGACGTTTATTGTTTCCTTTTGATTTTTCTTACTCACTTTGCTGACGCCAGATGTCGCGTCGCTCGGCTCTCAGGAGAAAATGGTTGATGGCTGACGAACGATGTTACTCTCGTGTTAATCTCACTTTAATTATTGGTTTGCTCGAAATCACGTGAAATTTGTAAAATGAATATTCTCTTGAGAGGTGACAATAAAGCCCGACTCGTTTAATCAAAATACGATGTCTGATAGGAGTAATGACAGTTAATATTATCATAATAGTAATTATAAAAAAATAATTTATTCGGCAGTCGTAACATTTTACATGATCTACTTTAGATCTGTTGCTGATGTTGTTAACACTAGAACAACCAACGTGGTTTTTGGTATGTTTAGGTATTCTATTTTCTTCCGTTTTTCCGAACATCACTGTGCGAAAGTCAGGATGCAGGTAATGAGCTTTTTATTATTATTATTCATATTTCTGACACATATTAATACTATAATAGATAGCATGGCGAAAACGAAAGGATTTCGCCTTCGAACGTGGCAATTTCCGATGTTTTACTTGACATAAGATATGTGTGACATCAATTTTCTGTAAATATATTATTCATACACTGTATTCAATAGCTGTATGCATAATCATATATAGGCAGGATGGGAAAATATTTTTTATGG